CTGTGATGGACTGGAGACCTGTCCAGGTGTCTCTGTGATGGACTGGAGACCTGTCCAGGTGCATCCTGTCTCTTGTACAGTGACTGCTGGAGATAGCACCCAGAAAGGAAAGGCGGGCAAAGAAAATGTTGGATGGATAAAAGAGGGACGACCCCAGCTACAACTATCAGACTAGTATTTCCAAACATAATACCACGTTTTTCAAAGTGCAGGTTGTGATATTTATAACAATTAATAGTAAAATATTTTGCTGAATTGAGTTTGTTTCCTCAGATATTCATGCTCTGCTCTATACTGACAGTAGCTAAGGGCTCCACATAGCACCTAGCAAGATGGTGGACGTCCGAGCTCGTTCACCAGCTTGAACAAAACGTGACCGTGACCCGAGTGTGTCCTGCACATGAACCTGTTCTTGTGGCTTTGCAGCTCATTCCATGTGGTTCAACCACGAAGCTATATTACATAAAACTTTCATTCTTTAGAATAAAATCAAATGAGTGCAGAATACATGAACTTTCACACACACACACACACACACACTTGAAGTCACTGGAATGAATCTGCTCTCACGCAGAAATCGGTATTGCTAACATGTAGGTGTTTTCGTTGTTGTCGGGTTCTTCTTTGGGTAACGGGTCGAACTGTCGCCGATACAGCAGCCGTGTCACGAGCGTGATGATGAACATCTCCAGGATGAGCAGCTGCTGATTCAGCACTGTGAACACACAACAGATCATCGTTGAGGAGTCACACCTGAGCGCTGCGCCACAAACATTCAGATCTTTTAGGTTCTGTGGAAGGAAGGCTCCAAACAACTCAGCTCCCATCTACACCACCCTGGGTATGTTTCTAAACAGTTTCTTTCTCCCACTCCCATACATTTTAACAAAAATACATTAACGACTAAGTTGCGCCACTATGGGGTGCTAACGGACACATTAACTAGGTAAAACACAGGAAAACCATCTATTCTGTTGGAAAAGAATTATTCTCTCTCAACTTATTCAAACAGACCACACTCGACGGCAGGAGAAAATTTTTAACCTTTACGTGCAAGGTCAGATGTTCAGGACAGGTTATACAAATATACAGGAAGAACACACAGATACACAGAAAGAACACACAGATATACAGGAAGAACGCACAGATATACAGGAAGAACGCACAGATATACAGGAAGAACGCACAGATATACAGGAAGAACACACTGATATACAGGAAGAACACACTGATATACAGGAAGTACACACAGATATACAGGAAGAACACACAGATAT